AATTTAAAAGGTGTTAAAGCAACCTACACTGCGTTCAAATGGTCCGGTGGAAGGAGATTTAAAGCTCTTTGGTCCATTGCCAGTTATTTTCAGGCGGGACATCACTAAAACGCACCGACCTGATTGGCGAGTGATGATGTTTACAGATGTGACGTCACCCTCATGTAGGCCTCATATTGGCTAGCGATAATGTTTTCAAGTGTGACGACAACTTCATCCTTCCCTCTGATTGGTCAGCAAATCAACATGCTCGAATCTTCTCCACGACGACATGTTTTTGTGCTTTTAACCCTTGACTTTTGCACAGACCTTGATCTTGGCAGTGTTGTGCATGGTAACACTGGGTAAAGATTCTCAAAGGTTCATACAGTACCATCAATATGTCGAGTAATTGAAGATGAAAAGATGTACAGTCACCCAAAAAAGTCCTGTCGCGAACCATGAACTCCGAGATTCAGACACTTGAATCCGAAGCATTTATGGACAGAATAATGTATCAGTGTCTACTGCTTCGGGTTCACGAGCCTGAATCGTGGTTCGCGACAGGACTTTTTTGGGTGACTGTACCTAAGTGGTCGACCTAACATGAAAAATCGTATCAATGAGATTCTACCTTACTAAATAGAGTAGTTTCATTAGCATCGACGAGGAAACAAAATCAAAGCAAAAAATCGCTCCAAAGCTGATTCATGTTAAAATTCCATACTAACTGATGTTGAGTGAATGCATCTGCAGTCGAGTCTATGTAACTAATACTAACCTGGAAATTACTATTGTTATTTAGCATAATTTAATCAGTTACGTATATTCCTTGACCTTCAGTTACGAGCAAAAGTCCCTCCCTCACGTGAGTCACCGAGAACCTGGATCAAGGAATATGAATGTCACACCTCAACTGGCAACAATGAACGTTTCCGCGGGAAGTTGTGCACTTTACGTGTCGTTTACCCTTGGCTAGTGATCTTGGCATTGAAGACGTTACGTATATGTGCCAGTCATTGTTCAGTTCAAGGTCTTGTTGCTGTCAGGTCAATCGTTTGTTTTTCTCTCGGTTTATTTTACCAGTTGTGTTATTTTACCAGTTTGTCTCGCCGGTTTATTTTACCAGTTTGTCTCGCCGGTTTATTTTACCAGTTTGTCTCGCCGGTTTATTTTACCAGTTTGTCTCGCCGGTTTGTTTTACCACTTTGTCTCGCCGGTTTATTTTACCAGTTTGTCTCGCCGGTTTGTTTTACCACTTTGTCTCGCCGGTTTATTTTACCAGTTTGTCTCGCCGGTTTATTTTACCAGTTTGTCTCACCTCTATTAAACACCAAACAGCTAAAGTTGTTTCTTGCTTTACCTACATAGTTATATATATTGTTCTATTACTAGTAAACAAGGTAGACACTTCCAATATTTTCTGTGTTTACTCCCGATATTTACTGTAAATACAAGAAGGCAAATAACAATGTAGGTATAACGAGAAACACCTATATTGTTATTGCTTGTATACCCGCACTGTCTATATATTGTAAACATGCACGGTCTATGTATATTGTATAACTGCATTCTCTTTCATACTTTCTCCTGTTTCCCTCTTACTCTCTCTCCTCTTCCCCTCTTTCCCTCTCCTCCCTCCCTTCCTCTCCCCAAGGTATCCGTCAACACGCCCCACCCCCTTTGTATGTTTATCTTGGTCACCTGATCCGCTTCTGTACCTGCCTCTTAATTACCACCTGACGGCTTTATTACCTAAAACTCTACACCAAAACAAACAACGAAGAGTTCCCAGGTTAGAGAGAGAGAGAGAGAGAGAGAGAGAGAGAGAGAGAGATCCTAGCCGCGAGAGCTGAACGAATACCAACATCCTCAGAGGAAATCATTCACATTCAAATCTTAATACAGAAACAAGATAGGTACAGTTATTTCCTAAAGGTAACTGTACCACAAGACCCCATCAACTGTAATGTGGCTGTGGGTTTTTTGTATGATTATTTCTGGACAGAGGCGTTCTCTTAACCCAAGACGAATACTACAATAATCTATCTAAACACAGACAGGCAGGCGTTTAACTCTCTTTCCGGTGTATCTACTTAAGTGAAGGCCAACTGATGTATCACTGTACGTTGATGTGAAAGAAACGGGTAAATTTTACTCTTTTTTTTTTCACAATGGTTGTAGCAGTAAGCGCTTATCGGTGGTGTGTGTGTGTGTGTGCGTGTATGTGTGTGTGTGTGTGTGTGTGTGTGTGTGTGTTTACATCATTATGGCTGGTGGGCCAGATGTACCCACACGCCGATATCTCTCACTCCACCACACGTAAACATATCGTCCACCCTCACACCCACCCCCACAGCCACTCCCACACCCACCGTCACCCCCACACCCACCGTCATCCCCACAGCCCACACATACCGTCACCCCCACACCCACCGTCATCCCCACACCCACCGTCACCCCCACACCCACCGTCACCCCCACACCCACCGTCATCCCCACACCCACCGTCACCCCCAAAACCACCGTCACCCCCACACTCCACCGTCACCCCCACACCCACCGTCGCCCTCACACCCACCGTCACCCCCACCGTCACCCCCACAACCACCGTCATCCCCACACCCACCGTCACCCCCACACCCACCATCACCCCCACACCCACCGTCACCCCCACACCCACCACCGTCACCCCACACCCACCGTCACCCTCACACCCACCGTCACCCCCCACACCCACCGTCACTCCCCACACCCACCGTCACCCTCACACCCACCGTCACCTCACAACCACCGTCACCCCCACAACCACCGCCACCCCCACAGTCCCCCCAGACCCAGTAACCTACACACCCGCCCACCCCTACCCTCAAAAACACCACAAAATAGTATCCACACCGTAAAGACTACATTAGTTCTAACATCTCCAGCTACGAGAAATATTCAACGTATGATCCTTTTGAGAATTCGGGACCCGGCTTATTGCACACTGCAGAATATAATACAATACTGCATACGTCCTGTACAGGCAGAGACAGATATTGTGGGTTTACAAGTCTTTGACGCGTACAGATGGTGACTCAGTGTCTCATAGCCCCTAGCCGACACATACAAACACACACACACACACACACACACACACACACAGGTCACAGTTTTATTACCTGACGTTCAAACATTTTATAATACAGATGTGATTCATCCGCTATACAGGGATAAACAAACCTCGGTACCTAACACTCGTAACTCAACCCGGATTCACAATGGTACGCAGATTCGTGTTTTCCCGCATGACTGAGAGATGTGAGAATGTATCAAAGTGACTCACTCACATTAAGACACAAATATGGAGGGTCAAAGCAGTGTCGAAACTGTGCTACGAATTTCCCTCAGTTACGGGAAAAAATCAACAAAAGAGAATCATTGAGAATCAGAAACTGTGTCCCTGAAACTCGTACAGGTGGCGGAGGTGATGTCGATACGGGAGGGGGAGTTGTTTATCATCATATCAAGAGAAACAGGTCTGGCAGCCAGGGTTACTCTGGACTGGTGTCTGTGTGTGTGTGGGGTGCTGCACGTCGGGTGACCACGGGGCGGCGGAACTGGTCTAACCACAAGGGAAGAGGATGAGGCAAGCAATTGTTAAGGTGTGTGAAGCAGTCAAGGTCACCAAGAAAGGGTGCGTGGGGGAAGTCTTTGTCCCACCTTGAGCTGTGTGTCACATGAACCAGAGTTCGTTCGGTCCATGAGTCGTACAAAGCCATCCTTCAAGGTCTACTTCCATAACTCAAGTGGTCCTCGGTGTTATCCTGGCGAAATTGGGAGCTGTGTACCTCCTTCCTCTCGTACCTAACTCCCTTCTTGTTCCCTTTAACCGTAACTATCCCCGCCATCCTCTCCCTCTCCTCCTCCTTCTCCCCCCATCCGGCCAGTCACTCAACCCATAGCCTTGGGGCGAGTTCTCGCAGCCTGGCGACGTTGTAATATTGTGAGGTTGAGGACCGCGGCGCCACACATACAAGTGCTGCTGTCGCCAACCATCGTACTGCTACCACCACCTCTACCACCATCCTACCACTACCACCCTTCCATCACCACCACCATTCCACTACCATCACCACCATCCTACCATCACACACCGGACCGTGTCATACAGGAAGCTCTTGATCTTATCGTCGATCAGTGTATCACGTTTTAAGCTTGGGCTCTGTGCCAGTCGAGAGAGAGAGAGAGAGAGAGAGAGAGAGAGAGAGAGAGAGAGAGAGAGAGAGAGAGTTAAATGGTGTAAACACGTTTCTGAGCTTACACACATAGAGAGGGCGAAATCCAAGACTACAAGCAACACTAACAAGACTTAGCGGAGAAATAATGCCGGATTACTCTGGCAGGTTCAGTGTTAAAGTATATTGGATTACGCGGGAGTGTTCCTCTGGCAACAGGTCAGATACAGCACGTAAACAGAACTTTCTAACATAAAACAAAACATCTATAGATTCTACACAGTCGACTACTAACTTAAAGCACGAGAGGAAGGAAAGTAAATCGTAACCCAATAGATGCAGCTAAAATGTAAACACCATTTTTCATACCACCTCGTCAGGACAAACAGAGAAATGACTCAATTAATCTGATATATCAAAATATTTCCCACCTGTCGATAGTGCTGACATCTAGTGGTAAAGTTCTCATTTAACATTTCGGGAGATTTTAATGTTTTGTTTTGTTTTGTTTTTCAAGTTTTAAGGCATTTTGGTGTAATTCTTATGAGCGAGATCCCACCAGTAGACCAGCGAGGACATGGAGATGACTTATGGTGATGAAGGGCAAAGGGTGACTTACCTGACTTACCAGAACACGAGTGATTTAACCTCAGTAGGGTGAGTCGAGAGGGACGAGGATGAAGCAAGAGTGACTAGGGTGAGACAGGAGGGACGAGGTTAAAGCAAGAGGGACGAGGGTGAGACAAGAGGGACGAGGTTGAAGCAAGAGGGACGATGGTGAGTGAAGCAAGGGTGACTTACCTTGACGAGGGACTTCATAATGGGGGAGTCCATAAGACCCTTGAGGAAGAGCAGGTCGGTGTGGTGGGCGTGGGCGGTGCCGTTGAGCTCTCCCATCCTGGCCACCACGTGCTCGTACGCCGCTGTCAATACAAGACTCATGAGTTACACGTATATTACATGGTATTACTCGACAACACACACACACACACACACACACACACACACACACACACACACACACACACACACAGAGCACCATCGTGACATTAAAGCTTCGTTTTTTTGTTAACACCGACTAAATATTTACCGCCACCAACACTAGTATTTGGCACAGAGTATTAATTAAAGGTGACCAGCCATCCACCGTACTCTCTAAAGTGGTGGCTGGCCCGACGTTGGTAGTGTCTGGTCCGACGGTGGTGGTGTCTGGCCCGACGGTGGTGGTGTCTGGCCCGACGGTGGTGGTGGATGGCCCAAAACAAGGAACAAAGATTTTGCCAACTCGTCACATGTGAACAAAGGCCGCATGAACCACCATCGTCTCTAACCCCATCCTTCCTTTCCCTCTCAATCGACCTCTATACTATCCAAACCTTTCCATCCCTACTATTCTTGTACCTCCCTACCATCCCATCTTTCCCTCCCATCCCAATTTACTTCTACCAAACCATCCTTTCTCTCTCTCTCTCTCTCTCTCTCTCTCTCTCTCTCTCTCTCTCTCTCCTTCGTTCTTTATCATTTTTCTTCCTGTCCCTCTCCCTTTCGTCCTCTTTCTGCTTCTCTTTGGCTTACTCCTTATCCATCTATCTTTCTTTTCATCACTACTTCTGTCAAATTCTGTCCATCTGTCTACACCTGTCTGTGTGTCTCTCTTCCTGTCTCTACTCCTCTATCTTTCCTTCTTTCTTTCTCTGTCTTTCTGTTGTCATCCTATCTGCCTGTGCCCACCTGTCTGTCTGTCTGTTTGTTTGCGATCGCCTGTCTGCATCCACCTGCCCGTATGTCTGTGTATTTCCACCTCTCCGTCTGTTTGTCTTTGTCCGCCTGTCTGTTTTGTTCCCCCTTCTATATGTCTATCTGTCTGTCTGGGATTGGACATAGCCACCAATACACCCCATAAAGGTAGGTCATTCACCCCTTCCAATGTTTGTCTACCTACACTCATCTCCTCATAATATTTGTGGGTAGACCAGTTCGTGGAGTCGACCCTCTACCCTTACCTACTTACCATACTTACATCATTTATTTGGTGTGTGTGTGTTGTAAGTTTAGGTTAGGTTAGTTCATGATAGAATGAGGGTAGGTTCAGGTTAGGTTACATTAGATACATGTTGGTTAAGTTTAGGGAAGGTTGGGTTAGATTAAGTATAAACGCAGGACTAACAATGTATTAACTAAAGTATATTACAAAAGTTACGTCAGTGCAATTGTACTTGAATCAGTGTGTATACTACCTACCCTCTTGTAGGTTTAAGCACACGCCCGCCCCTATTACAAATAAAGACACGCCCATGGGTTTTTCTTTCCACAAACAACTAAATCTTCTCTTAACAAACAAGCTATCAGCTCTTTTTTTTTTTTTACAACACAAACGTTAATACGGACCAACTCCAAGATGGGTCGTTAAATTAGGATAGTTTACGGTAAAGTCATGACAGGAGATTGTTCAACTGCACCGCCGTAAACACCTATACCTCCATACTGTGTTGGCCCGTCAGCAACTAACAGCAGCTAACACGTTCAATACGTTAATTTAATTTGTTAATATTTTATTTATAAAATTATGAATTAATGGACCTGGAATAACACTTATACATCATATTAACGCATAAAAAAAAGAGATTACCGACACCAACGCAAATAAATTAGTTGTAGGAAATCAGCGCTAATGTTTATACATCGAGAACATTATATTTCGTAAACAATGTATCGCTTCCTTTGTTTTTTTTAATACACTATTATTATTGTTTTTTACATTAATGGGATAAATTTCAGATGACGAGCAGTTTACATCCATAAAACTGTTCTGGGTTAATGATATGTAGTACAAGAGAACACAATCGTATTTGGTATCCCAGCCACACCTGAGGAATATTACAAACTTATATACAGTAACAGGAGAATATTTTTCATGGCATTTATGGCGCATTATACGAGTTTAATAATTTATGAACTTGTGGCAATATTTAAACGTTTATACATTTAGGGAAATATTGATATTTTGGGAAACATTTATACATTTAGGGGAATATTTCTACATTTACATCTTTGTTTCACTTTCGGGTGTAAGATTCACCAGGTACCACAATCCACTACGAGAGTTGCCACAACAAAAATATTCACATGTTTCAGTGAGTAAACTAAGGCTTCCCTCAAAGATAGGTGTCAAAATCGAACGTTTCTTCTACAACTAACTATACAGGGACATTTTCAGAGCTATATCAACTAGGAATACCCACACCAAGTTCATAATTCATATATTGCATTACAGGTATAATTACAGTATATATTTTTTTGTAAACTATTGTTAGTGGATGGTGGATGAGTCATGAGGGAGGTGGGTGACGGGAAGGTGGGTGACGATGGAGGTGGGTGATGGGGGAGGTGGGTGACAGGGGAGGTAAGTGACAAGGAAGGTGGGTAACCGGGGAGGTGGGTGACAGGGGAGGTGCGTAACCGGGGAGGTGGGTGACAGGGAAGGTGGGTGACCGGGGAGGTGGGTGACAGGGAGGTGGGTGATGGAAGGAATAGACGAGGCCGAGGCAACACACCTGGTCTACCTGTTGACGGTTACTAATCAATACCCGAGTTGCCCGTTAATGTCCCGCCCATAAACTGACCAACGTATATACGCCAGGGTTGGTGCATGAGGCGAGTGTATCCCTGAGTGCGCATGCGTCACAGTAAATACGTTTGGGTGTGAACACATGTGGTTAAGAGTGCATGTGTGGGAGTCTTTGTATTCGTGAGGGAAGAGTGCATATGTACGAGTATCTGCCTTTCAGTGTGTGTGTGTGTGTGTGTGTGTGTGTGTGTGTGTTTCAAGCGAGGGTATCTGAGTACTTTGTAGTTCCCGAGAGCATGCGTATCTGGGTCCTCGCTGTTATTGAATGCAGCATTTGCCTCTATAAATAAGAGTTTCCTGAGTGTAAATGCACTTGGATATGCGAGCAGCAGAGATGAAGCACTCGACTGCGGTTGTACTGTACACGCGTCAACAGCGCTATGGGGGTGACTTACGGTTGAAAGCCAACATGGTAAACTTGATCATGGTCGACCAGTTCTTAGTTGTAACTCAGTAGTGTCCCATTCAGTTAGCGGTGTGCCAATCAGCTGTGTCCCACTCAGTAAGCTGTTTCCTACTCAACTGTATTTTGCAAAGACCCGAGGCTACCACACAAAAGCAAAGTAACTGACGTCACTGCAATACGTCTAGTCTAGGGTTTCCGTGATTACATTATTATTTTTTTCAAGTGTAGAGTCTACCTGGACCACACTGCCAAAAGTTGCGAATACAGTTTATGAGAGCGACGTGTTAGGTTTAAACACATATAATGTCTATTAATGTTGATGTACTACTATTTTTTCATGGTTCGCGTCCACACCCATCAATAGTGGGTAAAACAAGACACTTCACAAATACTACAGTGACCAGTTTGTGTATAGATTACCAGGTGACTGTCCGAAACAATACGTTACACTAAAACAATTATTCTTAAGTCACAAGCACCGAAACAGTCTGTTCAGTCACAAACACTGGACCGGGTAAGCTCCACAACCACTGTTCACAAACGACAACAGACACATATGAGGTTCCAGGGACAGAGGCAGTGAGGAACTTGGCTGTGGTGATAACATGGGAGTACTGAGAGTGATACAGGGAGCGCGTGCACGACCGAGTGAGTGGTTAGCTAGGTGAATCCAGGAACTACACTGTACTTCCGGCACGTGTTCCCCTCTGACCCCCACCTGGACCACTGTGCCATGACGCCCAACGTGTGTGTGGGGTGGGGGTGGAGGGGGACATTACGTAGGTGTATTTGTGAGGACCGGGTATATGTATGTATGTATGTATGTATGTATGGAAAATGCGTGTGTGACTGCCAAAAAATCATAATGCTGCGTGCTTAAGTTTTATGTTAGTCTACCTGTGTGTGAGGGCGGCCTAGAGCTACACCAACCATCATTCATCAGCCACAACACCTGGCGTACCTGAGTTTGACCAGGGACCATAAGGCTCACACTCTCACACACCAACCCGCCACACCGTCCCAGCCACAACAACCCAGCCACACCGTCCCAGCCACAACCCAGCCACACCGTCCCAGCCACAACAACCCAGCCACACCGTCCCAACCATACCAACCTGACCACACCGTCCCAGCCACAACCCAGCCACACCGTCCCAGCCACAACAACCCAGCCACACCGTCCCAGCCACACCAACCCAGCCATACCAACCCGACCACACCATCCCAGCCACAACAACCCAGCCACACCGTCCCAGCCACAACAACCCAGCCACACCAACCCAGCCATACCAACCCGACCACACCGTCCCAGCCACAACAACCCAGCCAACAACATCCCAAATGCTCTCTTATTGGCCGAGAAACACAACGCTTACAAAAAATTACGAAACGGTGTAAAAAGTCGCTCCTCATTCTTAACCTAACCTAACTTAACCTAACTTAACTTAACTTAACCTAACCTAACCTAACCAAGCCCAAACAATGCAACAAATGCACAAAAAATAGTGACGTGCAACGCCTCTCCTAACAACGAAAGTTTAGTTTAAAAAATAAAGAAAAATGCACCAAACATCGCAATACATACAGATAATGTGGAAATTGTGCTGAACATTCCTACAAGAATTCGTGTTATTATCCAGTTAGTGTTAACTGGGCTACAATTAATGTGCTATTAATATTTTGTATTCCAGGTATGCTAAGAAAATTCCGACTCAGTTCACACACACACACACACACACACACACACACACACACACACACACACACACATCATTATGTCTAAATCAATTGTAAGTCTGTATATTTTCAGCCACCGGCTGCAACTCTATTAATAAACCGTTTATTAGTATTATTATTATTATTATTATTATTATTATTATTATTATTACACACACACACACAATTAACACCATTTTTTTTTTTACTTTTTTTCGAACATTTTTTTTTACATTTAATGCTGTTAAATATAAATGATAATTTTTCACACATCTCCACTTACCTCACGCCAGGTGGCAGACCCCGGTACAGAGCATCACGACTACTGCATTACTGACCTCGATTGCATCAAAGGGTGTTGGTCGTGGCTCGTAATGCTTGGACGAGTCACGTTCCTGCATACAGCCATACCACCGACACAACCCGGGCGTGAGAATCATGGTGCTTCATGTGCATATCCCACGCAGAGAGAGAGAGAGAGAGTGTGTGTGTGTGCGCTTTAAGTTCTATGAATTACCCCGGGAGAGGAAAATGTGGAGCCACTTCGTCAGCAGCATACAAAATTCTATGGACTGACTCTTTCCTCTAACACACTGAAAACTAGATTATCACCGCCCTCGCCTTTCTGCCCCAATATATCACCAGCTAAGTATAATAGTAAAAGGTAAACACTAGTGTAGGAACATTTACCTCCAGTATACACATCTGAACCACGAGCTCCACGCAGATATTAATGCTGTTTACACTGACCAACTCGAGAGTGTGTGTGTGTGTGTGTGTGTGTATGTGTGTGTTTGTGTGTGTGTAGATACTGGTTTGGAGGGTAACCTTGATGGCAGCAAGTTGTGTGGCCTTGTGGCTTGAGTTCAGAATAATCAGTGAAAGCCTGAAAGTGTTCGCGAGGTCTTGTTTATACGTTCAGTTGACTGTATTTGGTAGAGTGAGCGTTTACATACAATCTTGCCTCTGAGCGTGTCTGTGAGGGCTTCGGTGTGTTTGTGCCCGACAAACATTTCCACATTAGTCTCTGTGGTTGGGTCAAACTTAAACATTTGGAAAAACCTGTGTATTTGTCGACAATTAGTCATTTAATGATAATGTTGACGACATGAATGAATCAATTTTATAATTTATACTCATTGTTCATTCAGAATAATTCCTGAACCCTCCCATCGATCAAATTTTAGTTACTCCCCTTCCAAAATGACCAGGCTGTGGCTGCTCTCCATGTCCTTGTCTGTGAACTTAATTGCTCCTTCTTAATACCTGTAGATGCAAAACTCCACATATAATCTGTAAGCTTTTATCTCACAGTAAATGTCCCATATTTGTCTTCTACCCATGTTTACCATAGTGCTGCGGTCCCTAATACTAGGCTGCTACACCTAACAACCACTCAAACCTAAAGTAAGCCACACCAAATTCCAAGTGGCAAGAGTTACGTCCTTCTTCCACTTCCCTAAACTTATATTTTTAAATAATAACATAAATCTGAAAAAGAAGACTAAGTTTATTAACAAGTATTACACATCTGACCTGCCGACTCGATCAATATGACATATATTACGATTACACCAACAAGCTATAAAGGCAACCACCCTTTAGATACAGTATATGTGCAAAATAATATTTTCAGGCGACCCCTTTTAATATATATCTAGCAATATACAACATTACAGCAGATTAAGCCCGACTAAAATACTTCTCACTGAAACTGCTCATTTATGTAAATGTAACGCAATATTTCCAGCTTTCCTCGGCTGAGTATCTGGAAAGTGGGACCAGAAGGTTAATATATTCGCACACGTCTCCATAAACAACACATGGTGCACACGTAGCTTCTTACCTCTGGGCTAAGAAGACGTTATTTTCAGTTTCAGATACAGTACATATTACATTACCGGTATTACTACAAAAACTCGGGATCGCCAGAAGAATTTCCACTCGAAATTCTAATTGGTCGTCTGAGTTTTATATTGTTTCATGTTCATTATTTTATTTTTTTACCATAAATCCAATAAAAAACGAATTCATTGGACGGAAAGGACAATGACAATTAAATTATTAGGTTATTTTTTCCTTTTTTCATACGCTTTCTAGGAGAATTAAGGAAGTCTGTACTGTATGTACTGTATTTAGGTAAACATGTACCAAGAAATACGCTGAGGGAGGGACCGAAAGAGCCCCGGTCTTTCCCGCATTCACAACACCTACCACACACTACTGTACTTAATACGTCATACCTAAATATCACATAATTAACAGAGAACTTAACATTTAAAGAAATACCTAAAGGCTAACAGCATTAAAGCCTTACAGATTAATAATATACAGGGTGGAAAGGTTTATGAATTCATCCTTTACTTTGTGGCGACTCAGTTGTAATAAAGTATCAATTGAAAATGTTAGAACACTGACAGATAGACTCAATTTTTCCTGTCATATGCGTAAAGTGTTGCCAAGTCATTCTTACCTACAGTAAATAATCATATGCCAAATCAAGTTGACCGAAATTGTTTTTTTTAGTATAATGTTACAACCCACAAAGCCAACCACTCACGGGGGATTCAATTCAGTCTGTGTTTTAAATTGAAGAGCTGCCAGTGCCACCAGTGGAACTCCTGACACAAGATATCATTTTATGCATCAATCGTGTTAGCTAGGCTGTGACCGGCAGGAAAAACAAAACAATAGACGAAAGACCAGATTACGTTGCTGGGGGAGGGGCACAGAAAGGCACACTCGCACAAAAAAGTTAGCAGACAATGTGGTCAACAAAGAACTTCAAAGATCGAGGTCCATAATGTCAATATTTTAGAGTGAGAGTAAAAGATGAATCCACAAAAGTCATGAAGGTCTTTGATAAGTAGCCAGATTTTTTTTCAGTGTTTCCTGTCGCTTACTTGAACTTTTTGTCCTACAAAACTCGTTGAGTCTAATACATAAAAGTAAAAAATAAATCAAATAAAAATGAAATGGAAAATCCTAGGCGCTGTTGCCAGTGAAGTTTCATCCATATGCATGAACGTGCGACTTTAGCCAAAACCCGCCGACTAGTCTGGCGAGTTTTTCTCTTACTGAGTGACAGACGGCCCGGAATATGTAAAACTATCTGTGTGTGTGTGTGTGTGTGTGTGTGTGTGTGTGTGTGTGTGTGTGTGTGTGTGTGTGTGTGTGTGTGTGTGTCACTTCTATTGATTAAAAAACATTAAAAGTAGCAATGTTTAAAGATGATGGATGGAAACATTTAAAGGGAGTACGGATACAGCCCATCGAATACCAAGCCTCTGATACATATGGAAGAAATTGTGTCCGGCACTGCACTAGACCGCCTACACTTCCCAACCGTAAAATTAGGCATCCATTTAGAGCCAGATGGTTTAGTGGTGCCTCGAGCGTGAACCAGCGACCCTTAGGTCAATAGATAAGATCCGTATTCTCTCGGCCACCGTATCTTTCCGGTAATATCGCAATACTGAAACGTGCACCTCAGATAAAGGGGGCCACCAGATACAGTCGATGATTTTAATACCATCAAATTCTCAGTACACCAGTGGCACTGTACATGGCCCACTAGGTGCCTCAGTGCACTGGGGTAGGCCGCTCACCGCCCGGTGTTTGTTGATGCTCATCTGGTGACAGCGAGGGGGCAGGTGGGCCTGCTAATTATGACTCCCTGCGCTCCTTTCCACCTCCCTTTAATGATTAATCCCATTTCCCTCTCCCATCCTCCTCTCAAGAGAGAAACATATTTCATACAATAAAATATGATTGGTGCCTGAATTCAACGAGGAACCCCTGTTCTTTCCTCGCACGTACACTGTACCATAAAACGCGATAACTAGATAAATAAACCCTTGTTTCGGCCATTGTCTTAAATAAATAAACAATTAATGAAAGATCACCTTCCAGTGATGGAACCTTCAACCAGAAACATCCCCCGAGCGTCCTTGAAGCATTCACCCGTGGTGAAGTTTACCAGAATCGGAGCACTTGCCTGTACCCTTGTATATAAGGAGAGAAGTTGAGGTAAAGCAGGCAGCGGAAGTGATGAAGTTAAGTCTTGGAAAACACATCACACCCTAGCCTTACGGCTCCCGGCCGTCTCAACCCAGAACTGGGGCCACACTGCCGCGCCATGAATATAGATCCCCTGCTTGAGCACTGCTGAGTGAGGTGGGGTACACAGAGGCCCAGGCTAATGACGATCGTTTCTCGAGGTGTTTCAGGAATGTTACGAGACTAAAAGGAAGCTATTACATATGTAGATGGGAGAGGAGAGCAAGAGGTGAATTAAAAGAGTCGGGGAGATAAACAAGTGAATAAACAGATCAAGGAGGGAAGATAGATTTTTGAGCGGTGGGTATGAGAAAGGGTTAGAAGTGTGTAAAAGATTTATAAATCGAATTTTCATCACTCGATACAGACTAACTAAGATATTCATTAACTTAGATAAAACTAACAGTACAGGTATTCTTGTCATCTTATTATGTCATAATTCAAAGCCTGATCCTCTATGTTTAATTAGAGAATTCATCCATTGTCATGAAATTCGTGAAGTACATGCCTAAATTCTAGATAAGATAACGAAATCCACTTAATTAAAGAAAACACAAAAGCGTGCAGGCAATAAACATAACTAAGTAGTGACAACCAGACGATTTTAGCAAGACTGGGGCCAGACTTCAATATCGTTCACTTACCATCATTAATATCAGGTTTCGTGGAGAACTTCTCGAAGGAGTTGAGCAGAAAGCTTCGATCTTCTTTGTTGCCGAAAAACACCATCTTGGCTCTGGACACGCCTCACCTCACACAAGAAGTACTGATAAGCCAAAGTCTTCTACTTCCTCTCTACCCACAATTTCTTTATCTCATTCCTCTTTCCCGTGGTCCATCTCCATAACGAATCACTTTGATCTGTTCTTAGTTTTGGAATGATGATACAAAGACAGACATTCTCCAGGTCTCGTCACTGCCAGAGTTCAACAGTCTATATTACTGTGGCGGTAAAGTCTTCTTGACACTCGTTGGTGGAAATACTCCCCTAACCTGAAACGCACGCCAGTTTAATTATCAAGACGCCGAACTTGTAAATATACACATAAAAAATACAGTAAAATCCACATTTCAGTGTTGAAAGTAGTAGCAGTGGTTACAAGCAATTGTGGGACTAAGGAAACTAATGGCTCCATCTCCTCTCCCAATTCGTGAAAGCATCTGATAAAAGTTGTTAATTCAATTAATTGACATAGCTCGTGTGGCTACGCTGATATTGGGTCGTACAGTATTATGTTTAGTGGCATTAAAGGTGACATTCAGACGCACAAATCAGCACTGTTTCCCTCACTTTACTATGAACACTCCTTTCCGGAAAGTCAATAGCGAGTCTCCTAATATTTATGAAAAATCTTATGTAACCAAAAGAATGCCAAAACGAGAATGCATAAGTAGACCGATTGTTTAAATTTGTAGAATAATAATAAACACCAAGGTGAAAACCATAATACAAACAGTACACCAGGTGGTATTAAGTATTAGCTAATCTTGGTACACAAACTACATGAACTCCATTATTAGTGGCGTAACACTTTCCTGGGCTGATAACACCATTCTCAACATTTAGGATGGTTGAGATGAAACATTATTATTCATTTTTTCGTTTACCTTCATCTCTTGAGGGCAACTTTTGGAACATAACAGAAACATGTCCAGAAAATCAGAAGTAGTCAGTAACTTTGTTCACTATTGGTGGTTTCTGTAAGCAAGACGATGTCATTACCAACAGTTCCACGTTCTTACATCAATTTATATTACTGGTATGATATCTAACAATACAACAAGTGAAAAATACCAATGGTGCGCAGCAGGTGGATGTGACCAACTTTATACCCTGGATGTGACGAGGAGGAAGAGCAGCAGCTATCACGTAACAACACCACTACTGGCTGTAAAGTGGACACGGTAGGATATAACTTGTTCCTTCTAGCCTCACCTCACGCCTGACCCTGATTAAACACACGCACCATGATCTCAGTATCTCAACATGCATGTCTTACCATCCTCAACACAGTGTAACTCACCAACAACAATCGTTAACTTAGGAATATCTGAAGGGAGTAAGTATACCTCGTACTCTTAATATTATACTAAGTTGTTTGTCCATTTAGGTTTCAGTTTAACTCCTCAAAGATAAAGTATAGTTTTATATATGCCATTCTGAACATACTCTGACACGTAGCTATTTTACAGTCACACTACTGTACAAATATTATAACACCCTATTGTCAAGTACGGTAGTGGTCTGTTTACCAAATGGTCGCCAATGATCTTAAAGTGGTTACGGTCTGTACCTTAAGCTGACCTCGTATAACAATCTAACTTGTATCTTCTCAGTTTAATGAACGTGGCCGGCAACGTGCATTATACGCCCGTTCTTCACTCATCAATGTCACGGCGGATGCATTCTAATTCACTCAAATTACAGTGTAATCACGGAGCAGCCTCACCTTCCTTTTTACTCAGCTGACGTGAAGTAAAAAAAATCGATCTGCACCAACAATATTTTCAACTATATATATATATATATATATATATATATATATATATATATATATATATATATATATATATATATATATATATATATATATATATATATATATATTAATCTCGTACAATCTAAAATAAATTCATCTAATTATCAGTCATCATTAATGTATTTCAACAACTGAGATCTTCTAAACACACGGACTCAGTTCGGACACTAAACACAAACAACTCGGAGTGATATTAGGTGAGAAGACCTGTATAAAGATTCATTTGTTTGGCTCTCCTTCCTAACGATACAGTACGGTATTGGAGACGTCTGTGTGCTTGTGCGTTGTCGATCTAAACTATTTACACGCGTAATACTAACACCGGATATGCCAAATTACAGATAAACATCTAGGTTGACTCGCCAGGGCTCACACTTCTCCCACGACACCGGTTTATAACAAAGGGTATTTAAACGGAATATCATGATCACCTTACACATCCTCAGCAGCTAACACTCGTCAGTTACGCTCAGTATCAATTAACAGGTTCCTGCAGACGTTGCCGATTCCTGTTACACTTCATTAAACAGTTGTAATGCCTTATAAATACCACTGTTGGGATCCTTAACCTCGAAATATTGCCAGACTCCTCGTATCATACCATCGGGAGGATGACAACATTACCAACCTACCAGATCCGATACGTCATCATTGTTTCTTCATACAACACAAGTAGCTAGTTACTGATATATTACTATACTATAATTAGGGGTAGTATTAGAATCATTATACTGAAAAGAAAATGCATATACCTGTATATCGCTATCAATGATAATCTTCATTACAAATTAATACAAAACGAAGTGACAAAATAACTCAATTTATGTAACAAGATGTAGCCAATATTCTAACTTGCGTCAAACACCATTTACCTGCTGATTTCAAGTGCATGCACTTTAAATCGTGAGCTGGTTCACGTGGAAACCTTACCAATACCGCGTAATTTTTCCCGCAAAAAGGTCAAAAGCTCAGTTATGTATTTCAGCATTGACTGCCTGGTTTTATCTTTTTAATCTTATATTCCTATTATGAAATTTAGGAGATACTTCAGCACCAGCAAACATACTGGACTATGATAGTTATCAGAATAACAGCTACTCTCGTGATAATGTACTGACTATTGATATGGAATCATTGTCCACTGTCAGACATATAATCATGGTTGTAACATGAAAACCTTGTTTGCAATGTTATACAACGATTTATCTTTGCGGCAACAAATTTACAAATGTGGCTTCCTAACTTTCAATTACCGAGTATCATTATCAAATTCATTTTCGGGATTCTTTCGTTAATTTTATCTTCATGAGTCGGCACCATGGTGGAGTACAAGAGGTGTATCTGACACTAGTGCTGTAGCACAGTTTAAGTTCAAGGGAGTTCCGGTAGAAATGAGCCTCTAGCGGGAGTGTTAGCTGCCCCCACAGCTCCAGTCGCCGCTTTTGGTAATCCCACCAAATTGAAAGCCTTTGCTGTCGACGTCTTCCTCAGTAACGCGTCTCGAGAAGCTAATAAGGTCCCATGATTCTCGGGTGAGTTTCCCGATTCCCAACTAACTTGTCCTCTTGTGTACTATAGTGGACCTTTTTTTACTATTTCACTTCACCTGTAATTAAAGTAATTAATTTATATTTATGGCATTGTCATCTAGTTAATACTGCCTCTATAACTACAGCACTTAGCTTTAAAACGCAAGTGATGTTTTTGCCAAATGGCGATATTTGTTTTTTATGCCTTGAGAATTATCGCATATAATGGTAAAATCGATTATGTTCCATTAAAGACGACGTTTACCATCCAAAACAAACTAAATTTGAATTCGGTTAAGTAAGGTTAGGTTAGTTATGGCGCTACACATTGTATTTTGACTGTCGACATCATTGCCTTAATGTACAGAACATTGTCTTTTTTTTAAACAGAATTTTTCTTTTTTATAAGTCGTCCTTACTTCGCGTATATATGTGCAGATGTCCATTAGGACACCAAACTCCGGTTGTCCCTATTGTCCCTTTAAGTAACGCTCTGTCCAGTAACCACGCCCCACCCATCGGCAGATGAAGTGACATGACTTGTGTTGGCGAGTGTACCTCCCAATGAGGAGACTGGAGCTTTGTCCTTGACTGGTCCCAGGGTAGGAGTGTGCAACCAGTCATCAGTCTGGCCTTGGAGAGACGCCTAAACTTCAATATACTATACCCTGTATATAATACTAAACTGTATATCTTCAGCGCCAAAGAATCATTTAGAAAATAAACTCGCTTGTGAGATTTATACATTTAAAGGGAAATTGGGTTTTAAATTTGGAAATACAGTCCATTACGCTGTATGTCACCCAATATGCAGTATTAATGGAGCATTTAAATGATATAACCTAAAATTAAATAACATGGAACATTATACTGTATATCTTAACTTGAACTTATTTTCGAAAGTATCCAGGAAGGGTGGGGGGGTATACGAGACACCAAGTGAATTTAAGTAGCCACGCCGATAACGTCATTGGAAGTTGGACAAACGTTGCCAACAACCACACGAGTTTACTACACACCCTTTTCTTCCTTCCCTTAATTAAAAGACATTCTTCAAACAGATTCAGATAGTGATTAATAATGAATTACAGACTGAATCAAATAATCAAATGCTTTCGTAGAGCTAAATGAAATTTAAAACGAAGAAACTGGAAAATAACTATCTCGGCGCTACTCAGTGAGGTACGGACTCGCACCCAAATCCTCGGTGACTGACCGTAACGACACTAGCAGCAGCACCGACTGTATATCACTAAGAAAGCGTTCCTGGAACCAGAGGGGTTAAAGTTCCCAATTAAAGTAAGATTATTTTTTGTGCAACTCTCGAAAACAGTATAACATGCTCTTTGAAGAGAAATTACACGAACAGTTCAATTTTGAGACACGGTAATCGACTAGCGTTTTTATCCTCTTCCCTACTAATCGGCTCGTTTAGCCGCTGAGCAACACTGAAATTAATTTTACCGACATTACATATTAATATATAGTACAGTGTTTATCAATGTTATTCCCCTGTAAGTAAAACAATGTCTAGCGGTTCTAGCCTATAAACGGCAGTAAATGATGCCTGAAGGGTCAGTGTTCCACGCTTCTACGAACGCAGTCCAACCATCCTGGGACCCCTAATAATTCACCTATCATAGCGAATTAAACATCACGGCATGATCCCCAGATATTTTGCCGATAATCCTTTGTTTACAGTGTTCCTTATAAAGTGTACAATATAGCTTAAGTCTAATCACAAAGCTATAATTTTACACCATTCACATTTCATTCAACCCATTATAAGACCCAGGAGTCTGAATTATTTGCTATTGTATTATGATACAGGTATACTAATTACAGAACTAAAGGTATTTCTTTTGGATTGTACACAGGCAGAGTGGCGGGCCTAGATTAGACGGGCCCACAGCTCCCAGCCCCCTCATGTTGGTGGTGATTCTCACTATTCCCGCCAAGCTTTATTGATTTTTGGTCTGCACAACTGCACACTTCACTACTACTCAGCTGATTACACGTTCTTTATTAAACGTTCTCTTTAGGGTTTAAGAGCCGATGCTTTACGTAGTTACGAAGTTTCTATTGATCGTCTTGTCACATATCTTTAATTTTAGTACATTTAAGTACTTATATTTTCTTGTATTTGTTCATTAAGCCTTACAGTAACAAATTATGTGTACAGTTTTTTTTTCAATAACACTATTCATCAATAAACCGTAAAGCTCTCAAATTTATCTTCCTCTCAACTTTTCTACCACACCTTTCAATTATTTCATATTAAAAGACTTTCATCACTCATCAGTGCACAATAAGCAACTCTCGCTCAATAATCCATATAATGGTTAGTCTCTCCGTGATGTACCGTCTTAATCTTCCGCCTAATGTGTACACACTGGAAGCCTGGATATCCAGAACTGAAAAACTACGGTCGCCCATGCTGGGTTCCAGAGCCACCTACACTGACTCTCACGGTCGTGAGATGCTAGGGAATTCGAATTATTTTTTATTTGTTTATCCCTATAATAAAAGCCAATATGATATATAATTCGAATAAATACAAGTCCTGAAATTTTTTAGAGATTAACACAGTCATCTTAACCTCACTAGATAGATAAAGATGTTTGAGAGACGTGAGGATTCGGAATCCTGGAAGGGCAACAAAGCAGACGACGCCGCAAGGAGACGCAGTGTGACCTGCCATGGGGAAATAAATGTATACAAACAAACAAACACATGTCACCATTCTTTTTTTTTTACAGGATTAGCCCACCGGGGCACAGGTCAATGACCCACATCAAGGCCTGGGGGCGAAAATATAATAATAATAATAATAATAATAATAATAATAATAATAATAATAATAATAATAATAATAATAATAATAATAATAATAATAATACAATAATAATAAAAATTAAAATATTAAATAAAACAATAATAATAATAATAATAATAATAATAATAATAATAATAATAATAATAATAATAATAATAATAATAATAATAATAATAATATAGGACCATAAATAAAAAATTAAAATAAATAAATAGTGAGAAACGATAATCGTATATGTATGTTGTGTTGTCAAAGTAAGAGAAACAATTAAAAACCCTGAAATTGTGTGTAAATGAGGCAGAAAGTCAGATCAGCAACCTGTGACATGGTCACAATTTTTGTGATGCCATATGGCAGCAGGGTCTACCATTAGACAATACATACCGCTCCCAATATCTTCCCAGAGGGTGCACTTTGGTTTACAATGTTAAGATCCACTCCAGACTCAATATAAATAAACTCAAGTGTCAACTGATACAAATTAGGATGTAAAATAATGACAAACCACTGAACAACCATTTCGCCACGTAAGTAAGAAACTACTAAGAGCCCCTTCACTAGTCCTTGACTTTCACTGGCACTAGTGGAAGGTTGTGAGAGGGTTTGTTCTCCGGACAAAACGATACACAATTTATTTCGCCCAGGAAACACTGGTGCTGTATTCCCATAAACTTTAGACAACGATTCGCAGAGATATGTAATTGTTTTCGAGAATATCTAAAAGGTTATTAAAGTGCATAATAATATGTTAATGGTTACGAGCGACTGAAACAAAATCTACAACACACACACACACCTGCTTGACAGTCTCGCGGCCTAGGTCAATCAGATGGCTCTATGACCCCAAGTCAAATCCCGAAATTTGAACAGGATAAAAAAAAAAAGTGAGAGGCGTTGGCGTCTATTTGAGTCATCCCAAGGGCGAGGAGGAAGAGCGCAAAAGGTATCAGTCTATGGAAAATGTTGGCCCAAAATTATATAAACAGATCCTTCTCTGGCAACACCAAGACATTACTGTATATTGAGGCCATCCACAATGTTTACGCATATACGTTTTATCCATTACTAATACTTTTACCGTCATCAGGAAACGAATTCCTCTCTACATCAAGAACATATATTATACAACATTGAGGACAATTTTCTCCATCGGCTATTACCGTGAATATAGCAGTACGATACAGTATATACAGCGTGTGAGTCATCGTGAAAAAGAGAGTGGTAAATCTTCACGAGCTTAGATCTAAACCGGTTACTGGAGAGTTCACCCCCCCACCTGGTCACACAAGCTTCCTGTAAACATTCAGGGAAACGCCTCCTCTACCTATGATGCACACGCAGACGAACACGCTTAAACCTAACCTACACAAACTTAAAATCCCCCTCCCCCTTCCATATAAACACACATAAGCTTTCCCACCTCACAAACACTGAAAACACACACACACACACACACACACACACACACACACACACTTCTTTTCCCCAAATGATTATGAAAATCCCTCCCCTCTCCTCTCTCTCTCTCTCTCTCTCAAAGGAGGCTCTTTTCAAAGGGCCCTTACAAACATCACTGGTCGATACTTGGTCTCTTTAATAGTGCTGGTGATAGCTAAGTGTCTCCTCAATAGACGGGTGTTGCGTCAGAACCACCACACAAACACACTATCACCCAAATCCCCAGCGACAACGATAGTCTTACAGGCGTAGCAAAACTCCACCTGAAATCTATTTATTTACTTGTCCAATATCACTGACCATGAATGATCACTAGTGGAGGGATATACCAATCACCTTGTGTTTGTTTAAGTGTATGTGATTTTAGAATGAGTGAATGTGTATGCGGGCACTAAATAGTGTAGAGTTTTAAGTTAGTCTGACATTTCATTATTTCATTCTTGTATAGCATGATAGACTAGGAGAAGACTAGATAAAACATAAATGTGATGCACCAGTCAACACATGAGAGACGTATCCCATGGTTATTGTCAAGTGATAAGAGGAAGTAAAGTATGCATGAGCCTAAGAAAGGAATTGAGGTACAGGTATAGCCAAGGGGTATTATTGATTATTGTGAGATTAAGGATAGTGGTGGCTGGTACAGTGGGGGGGGGGTATTACTGAATTTAAGTGGATTCTGGCAATTATCTTGGTTGTAAGGCACACGGGGATATTGTCGTGCGGAGCTTGGAATGTAACAAGGTTATATACGCCCCAGTGTGCTTGACCCAGTTGTAGTACGGGGAGTTATGCTATCTAGTAGGAAAATAGAGGCGCGTGGGGTAAAATTTTTGCTTATGTCTTTGTCATCAGGAAAATAATACTAGGGATGGAGAGGAAGTCACTACAGTATTACCAGAAGCATCGATAAACTAAATTAAAAAGCGAAAAGAATTATGCAAAACCTGTTAGTTTAAAATTCACATCATTCCAAACTGGGTGTCAATAAAACCACTTAAAAAAAGGAGCTATGCATTTTGTGGACCATTCACGATGATATATTGTTTATGGTTATCGAAATACCATTAACAGAGTCTTTGGCAACACAGTGAGCAGGAGACGGTTTCAAGAGAAATTATCTTCCATTGATGAATTCACCTATTTATTCCATTAATATGAGAAGTTTAACTTACTTATATTACCCTTAAATATGCAGTCAATTTTGTTTCTGTGTTAACAGGAACCACAAACACAGGACTCATAACGACAGCGAAGTAACCATAATAACAGGAGGCCTGGGCCGATTTCACAACCCTGGCCACAACGCCCAGTACTCTGGTAGCATCGACAGTAGTAGCAGAAGCATTAAAATGCGGCAGTAGTGGCAGCAAGAGCAGCAGCAGGAGTAGTAGCAGCAGTAGCAGTGACAAAGCGTCCCCAGCGGCTGCGTCACTCGGGGTGGTCATTACGAGCAAGATGAGGTCGTCCCGGAACATCACCAACCTTACGCTACCGCCAAGACTTCCAATCCAGCCTCCATCACACCACGTCTAACACACACAACTGGTCACAAACATTCCACACTACCACGAAACAACCACGAGGGTCTCTACGTGTGGCTGGATTATCAGTGTTGAGTTACCAGCGTCTAGGGGCAACACCTTAACCACCGGCATCAGAAACATATCAAAAAATACGTGAGAAATATAATACTTTTCAACTTGTGATGCATTCTATTGACTCCTGAAGCCCTCCAGTCGGTGTGGGTTCTAGTTAGGGAGGAGGAAGAGAGGGGGGGTAAATGACCTCAGTCTGCACTCCAGCGTCATTTGTTTCATCAGCCACGACCCACGCTCCTGTGACCCCGTGAGGAAGCTCTCACACTGTACTTGTTGACGAGGGGAAGGAGGAGATGATGCAGAATGGAGAACTAGATAATGGAGGCAGTGAATGGAGAACAAGCTAACACATATATACTCATGGGAAAACATGATAAAGGATAATAGTGATGAGGGATCCAGATAACGGGAGAGTGAAGAAGAAAATAAAGATAGCGAAGGAAAAGCAAGATAGACGATTTAATAAAGGTAGAACTAAAAAACGTATTTATAAACAAGAATACGAACTAACAGAGCAAGAGAAAGAAAAACAAAATAACATATACACAGCCATAGAACCTTCAAGAACCGTGTGACTCACCCCCAGGGCGGATCATCAACTGTTATTGGAAGGTTGCGTCCAATGCAGTCAGCCTGGAGGCGACACCACTGATGAGTAATAACAACGGAGTTCATGATACATTTCGAGTGTTTATTTCTCCATGACATATGTGAGGGAACAGAGAGGCAGGTGAGGTGTTGGTAGGTAGATAGACTACTACTGAGATGAGGAGGTGGGTAGATAAGAGTCCTATTGAAGTATTCTATATTCACCTGTGACGGAAAATTAATTCACTTGACCGTCCAAGGAAGTCACTACGAGGTTACCGTTACTGTACGTCAGGTGAACTTCCGTACCACATACCACTATAAGTGGGTAGGTCAATGTAGATTTGTCAATCGGGTAAAAGGGTTGGTTATACTGTATGTGCCCCAATGTATAAGAGTTTTTGTATGCTGAAGTTTTAAACGCAAAGTATGTGTTCGTACGTAATTCAGTTATTAAAATACCTTGTATACAGATAATAGTAGGGCGTTGCATCTACGAAAAGCTTTAAAAAGTATTGTACTGTATACGCCGTACGCCATCATTGAGCCAGGGTAGGGACAAACAATAACAGAAGATTGCAATTACGTGGGGTTTTAGAGGACCCTGGTCTTAAAACAAGTAAAAAATACTAATATACATAATAATACACATGTACCCTTATAATTTAATATTACATGAACAATAATACTCACCTGATAATGATGCTGATGATGATGAAGATGATAATGGGACAGCTTGGAGAGGAAAGCTGTCCTTAGAGTGTTCCTCAGGCATGATCAAACCTGAGATGCAACACTCCTCTGCACTATCCACGGTGAGTGTGTGGGGGCGTGTAAGGTGCAGTGCTTGTATGCCTCACTATAATCAATTAAATCTGTTCACACTATCATTATTACTTTTACTATAGCTGTATCTAGTCGTCACTATACCACCACATATACGATTAATATATCT